AAGATTTCTGTGTTTGTGTTCTGCGCACAGGTTTTGTAGGAAAGGTTCTTCTTCTCAGGCCGTCATTTATAATTTGTAATCGTCGGTTGATTATTAATGAACTTAAGCATTCATATTTCCGCAGTTTGTCCATGTATGTGAATTTTGCGTATATGTATGTGGTCAGATTTTGGTTTTCTCATATTTTATTTGGCGGATACATCACGTTTGCATGACTAATGTTATTCAGAAAATATGAAGAATGTGAAAGATTACATTCTCCAAATACATATTTCCAAACTCATCTCTCGCACTTTTTATCCGTAACACGTTTCCACACTTCGTTATTCAATCGAAAAGAAAGGAAGTTAGACATGGGGATAGAGAAAAAAAACTGCAAAGGCGTTTATCAATCCAAAATAGCACACATGCATCGAAATTGGAACGACCCGAAAGAACTTGATTTTCTATATGCAAATATCGTTTCAATATCACTTATTAAGTGGATCCAACAATTAAACACAATCTCTCTCTCTCTCTCTCACTCACGCACCATATAACATACAAACATCTAATATATTCGACATTTTGAATAGTAAATATTTTGGCAATAGAGAAAGCCTGGAATCAAATCAAATAGTGCGTGTATGGGTGGGCTTATGGTACAAACCATTTGCAAAAACCACGTTCATGAATAAATAATTCGGTGTTATTTACGAATGCCTCGCTTGGTGGGTTAGGAAAATGTTGTGGCAATTTAAGGACGCCGTTCAAATATCAACTTGTTTGGCTGGTTGGTGGTGGTGGCTGTTGTTGTTTTTTATTCGACCCTGTTTTTTCACACATTTTAGGCGCTTTTTAGTTGATATGTGTAATCCTGAAGCTCTGTCAAAATCGAAAAGGGATGTCTTTGCCGTTGATAGATTATACGGGTTTTATATGCGTTCTGTTGTTCAAAAATAAGCGATGTATGTTCATCAAGAGGAGGATTCACACTCATACATAATAATGTGGTGTCGTTGAATCTAAGGGTGTTAGGGAGAACGAAGATTGAGAGAGCGGAGAAGAGGAAATGAAACAGATTGACAGGCCAGAGATAGAGGTAGAGAGAGAAAAGGGAAGACAGGGAACGGAATGGGAGGTAGAATGGTGCCTAAGTGCTCAATTACTCAAAAATCAGTTGAGTAAATTATTGCCAAACGAATGAACCAATGTTGTATAAACCGTTAAAGCCACAATGTCACTATATGGACTATTTTGTCGCTTTTCAATCCATTCCAATACTCTAGAACGCTCACTCTCACTCTCGTTCGTTCGTTCTGCTACTTTTACCACTTTTATCGATATCATATTTTGAAGCGCTTCCAAAATCATTATAAAAAGGTGGAACGAGCAACAAATGAACACTTGTTTTTTTTTGTTCTTGGTATTGCCTTTTGAAACATGCCTGACAGTCTCACTCCCTGTTTCTGGCTCTAGCGCCGCTTCACCGTTAAAGCTCGTTCATTCTTTTACTTTCAACCGTTTATATATGCTGAATGTCATCGTCACTACGGCGTTTCTTTGTGTGTTGTTATCAAAGAAAAATGATTATACGATTGTATATTGATTCATTTATTTTTCTACAAAATAATTTTTCTTCTTTTCTGCACTTATTCACGAAATATATTTGTGTCATATATATCTATCTAATGTATATGCAGCCATAGCAAAGAACACACACACACACATTTGGACATCCGTTCAAATACACACATCTCACACACGAAATCCCCATAGTGAGTTAAAACGATGTCGGTTTTCGTACGCTTGACAAAATCGACACAAAGTCAGAGAGAGAGAGAGAGAGAGAGAGAGAGAGAGAGAGAGAGAGACGGAGGGAGAGACGGAGGGAGAGAGAACGAACAAGAGAAGTCGGGTGATAATCAAAATCCAAAGTACGTTTCAGGGAATATCGAGAGAGTACAACATCTTCACATCGTTTTTCCAAGAAAAAAAAATATCTATTACATTTTCAATTTATCAAGCATCAACAATTTATATCTATGTGTAAACTGAAACCTTTTTCCATCACCTCCATTGTGATCGTACGGCGTGTTTATTCTGCTCTTGCTATATATTCATTCGATCGAAATTGAGAGCGAATGAATCTTCTTTTTTTCCTTCTTGTTCAGTTGATTGATATAAGTATGTTCAAAATAAACAGAAATAGTGATGACAAAAATATTCACATATGATTCTTCGGCTGTGTCCGGCACAGTGTGTTTACTGAGAGAAAAAGAGAAATGCCGTTACAAAAAAATAACGTGCATAATTTGAGATGCGCACCGCACGATACACCAAGAATAACAACAACAATAACACCAACAACATCAAAATATGATATTCAAAAATGACGACATCCGAAATTTTGCGATACTGAGATTTCGTAAGTGTCTCCCTTTTTCATTTAACGATTATATTCTTCTTTTTACTTCAACGTGTAATATTTCAGTGGATCATCTGAAGTTATTATAAATTGGAGGCAGAAAAAAAAAATTCGTTTTTTTTCACAAAGAAATATTATTAAACACAAAATCCAAAGAAAAATCGTTTCTTCTTTTTCTTTCTCAACAATTTTTTCTGGCTTTCCGCAAATCCGCACCACGAAAAGCACAAAATAAGCCGAAACAGAGGAATGAAAAAAAAAAAATACACCGAACGAACAGCCTCTCGTGTAGAAGCTGCTCATATGAGAGCAAATAGTTTCGAACACGCTTTCGATAGAACACAACATTCACTCGCACTCACACGATTTTCGTTTCGAGAACCAATGCGACCAAACAACAGCTATCGACTGAATCTGTAAAGTGTTGTTTCGATCGCTGAGACTCGGAATAGAATGAATGCGAGAATTGAATTGACTCTGCCATGTGAAATTGTGTGTGCTGCTGTTGCTGCTGCTGCTGCTGCCATAGCACAGTTCTATACATATTGCGGCGGACAACAGTAGAGCGAATCGACTACACGACTCGAGCAAGCAAAGCACTGAGCGAGAGAACGATGGCTGTGTATCAGTTGTGCGCTATTTTCGGATGTATGTTTCGATGGATGGATGGATGTTATATTCGACTTGTACGGCGTACAACGTTGCTGCTGCTTCTGCTGCTGCCACTGCTGTTTCTTGCTCCTAATATATTCCTGTGTATACAAATACATAGTGAAAATGGTTTCGTTGTGTTTTTCGCTACATTTAAAAAAGCCAATAGCTTCGATGCGTTTGCAAGACGACGGATTTTCATATTGCCATACGATGACGATGACGACGACGACGACGACGACGTCGTTCAGTAGCTTCGTATCGTTTGTTTTAACGATTACAAAGTTTATGCATGGCACACACACATCACACCACACCACACCACACAACACAGCATTGACTTACATTTTGAACATGCACGTTCCAACGACCGAATCGAAACAATTTCTTCGCATTTTTCTCTCTCGCTTTTGTAAAGAATGTCCCCATATTTTGCGATTTTGGCGCATATACATTTTTCCCACTGCACTCAACGTAATATCGTTTCCACGCTAATTTTTTAAGTGTCGAAACAGTTTGCTCCTTCTTCATCCAGGAACGAGCCAATATAGGAATAATATATATATATGCTGGGGAGCACACTTTCAATTTTTCATACCGCATCGCAAATATGCTCGTTGAAATTCGGAAAACAATTATTGCACTTTTCGATAAATATATTTGACTAACGGATTAATTGACTCTCTACTGTAAATAAATTTACACCATTTTTCCCATGTCAACATTTCGAATTACAAACTGTGCACACACGCACACACACTGCAAATGACATAAATACATTCGAACATAATATATAGGATTATGTTTTAAATGTCAGCACTTGCAATGATGTCCCCCTATTCTTTCGTTAAATCGCTTGAAAGTGGTTCGTAATAAAGTAATAGCGTTCTGCTCAAAAGGGAGAGAGAAACGAAACATACAAGATGCGGAAACCAAAGAAAAATGAACAAAGAATACATCGATGTTCACAGTGTCGTTATGTGTGTTTATGTCGAGAGTCGACTTACGAAGAGGTGATCCAATCGAACACGATTGTGGCATTTAATTTATAGCTCTATCGTTTTTACCGATGATTTAATCGCTAACCAAATGTTCGTGTCAAGTCAAAGTTTGGTTTTTATTTATAAAGCCGAAAAGTTCACGGAATAACAATGAATATTCAATTGTGGGAGAGCAGAAGAAAGCGCACGAGGGAGAAATGGTGAGCGGGAGAGGGAATACATAACAAGTACAACCAGGATATATGATGATGATTGGATAGGCCAGGCCTGGTAGCTGCGCTGAAATCTCGGGGGTAAGAACACAAGCGCTTGAAACGAATCCGTACGAATATTTGTGAAATCGTGTGATTGTGTATACGAGACATTCGCTGCGCAGTGAGTGTACAACAACAATAACAAAGCCACGAACGCATGAATATATGCGAATCTATGTGAAACTCACAACTTGTTCCTAGCCCCTCGGCTGAAATGAGTCAAAATAAATAATTATAAACTCCATTCCGTCGGCTCGGTTCTACTCATTTCGATGGTATATTTTTCTATATTTACGTGAGCCATTTCGTTGTTAGTTGTTACTGTTGTTGTTGCTTTCTTTCATTGTGTTTCGATTCTTTTTTTCCATCGTTTCTTTCATTCGTTTCGAATAATTTCCCGTTTTGCCATTCCATTGATGCGTGTGTCCTATATTTCCCGAATTAAATTCCTTCTTTTCAGACACACACACACACACACACACACACACACACACACAAAGAGAGGATCAGCGCCCGCAACACACTACTGAATTTGATTGAATCAACGAGAAAGAGAAAGAAAGAGAGAGAGAGAGACGAGTTCATTTAAATTCATTTTATGCAGAACGGGGTGTTGAATGCAAATACTTTAGTTGAAATTGCTCGCTGAGGCAAAATCATCGTACATTCATTTGTTGCATGTCGATGGTTTTCAAGCGGAACCCGTTTCAAACCATTTGTTACTCGGTTTGGACGGAATCTCTTTTACTTTTTTCTCTTCCATTTCCCTCTCTCTCTCTCTCTCTCTCTCTCTCTCTCTCTCTCCCTGTTCGCATTCAATCAATAACTGTTGATCCATAAATTGTCAATTTTGGGATGAATTGGAATTCAAATCATTTTAAATGAACAATATTCCATTGATGGCGGATAGCGGTTCGGTGGTCTCGGCAAAAAGCAGGTGTGCGCTTGGGAATGAATGCCAAAATGAGTGTTCGTTTTTGCCATGCGAACATCTAATAAATTGATAAATTGTGTCCGAATATCGCAAACGTAAAATGAACCATTTTGATTAAAACGGTGTTAATGACCGATTCTACGGAGACTCTGAATCGACTCAAACTATTCGAATGGTAATAATTCTTCCCTTATGAATGGCACCGATAGTTCCATCATTTTCGAATCGATTCAATTTCTAGCTATATTTTCCACATCAATAATAAAAAAATTGACAAAATTCAAGTCATTTTCTCTCCCAATAGGTACAGATTCAACGAACACGATTAATAAGTGGAAAATCGACACAGAAAAACTCGATATACTGTCATCCGAACTAAGTGAAAGAAAAATAGAATAGAAAATCCCGCCATCTTCGTCAATAATTCCAATTTTATCGAAGATATAATTTATGTCCCGCTAATAGCATTGTTTTTTTCCTTCTCTTTCCTCTCAACTGATTTGAATACCGGACATTCAGCTATCCGTTTGGAATAAATCATTTGAATTGAAACGAAGTGTTCATGGTGTGCTTGAACAACTTCCATGCCTCGTTCAATAAGTTCCGAAAAGCAGGTAAAACGCGTTATTATTACAGTAAAACCTGTCAATAACGGAATCCCATGGGGAATTTTTTTTTTCCACTATTGACAAGAATTCCAGTATTCACAGGATCCGTTATTCAAAGGTTTTTGAGTCGATTCAAACAAGATTTTCCATTATTGAGGGTAAAAAGAAGCAAAACATACATTTTTATGGGTATTCAATTATCAAATCAAGTGATATAATGAACGTGAAAAGGAAATAATGAAATAAAAGTATTTTTTTACTAAATGAATGAAGGAAAAACGAAAGTGAAAAAACAGTGAAATTCACTGAGTGAATGACAAACATCACTTTTTAAAATAATCAAGCAGTTCAAACAATGACTCAAAGTGGGAAGGTAAATGATACTCATTTTTTGCACTATCAATTTGGCAGCGATGAATTCTGCATTTCATGAAACGAAACAATGATTACCAAACTTAATGTAAATGCACTGATCGAGTGAATATGTTTTTACTGGGAGCGTCAAAAATTTGTTTGCTTGAATAAATAAGCAATGATTTTGGCAGACAAAAATGAAAAATAATACTGAAATGAATGTAATGTAAATTGTACTGCACAATTTTTATGATGATCAGTGGTTTTGATGAAGGAAAAAATTAGTTTTATATGAAAAAGGGATGAATAAAAGACGAAAAAAAAATTTCTTCAAGAAATTTTTTTCCACTATTCGGAGTTTCGGTTTTCCGTTATTAACAGGTCAATTTGTATGGGAGAGCTCAACGGCCAAATTTTTTTCCACTATTGACACGATTTCCACTATTCCCAGGTTCCGTTATTGACAGGTTTTACTGTATAACAGAAAGTTTTGAGATATTGTTGTACGCATTGTGTGTGTATGTGTGAAAGAGAGAGAGAGAGGGAGATAGAGAGGTGAAATGTACTGAGATGAGTGAGGGGGGAGTAAGGATGGACCTTCACTTTGAATGCAAATAAATGTGCACGCATAGTGAAATTCGAATTGCCTAGACAAGATCAGAAGTCAAATGAAGCATCCGACACGAAAGTTCTAGCAATACGACCAAATATCTATTGACTAGATCGAGAGGAGAGTAAGTTCATCTGACTTTGTTGTGAAAGAGAAGAGTAAGTTTCTTTCGACTCAAAAATGGTTAAAGGCGAGTATGTTCATTTTTGGAGGGTCCTCGCGGTTTTCCACGGTTTCCGCGGAACTGATAAGAGATAACAACTTAGTGTCTTCGGCAAAGTTGTAGCACTCGAAGTCTTCTGTAACATGGCTGAAGTCAGTTATCTCTTATCTCTTATCAGCTACGCGAAAAGCGCGAAAAATGATAAGAAAAAAAAAGTTCTATATAAAATTTGCTTTTTTATGTGCGCGATTTGCGCGCAACTGATAAGAGATAAGAGATAGATGTCTTCAGCAATGTTAAAGAAAACCTCAAGTACTACAACTTTGCCGAAGACACCATGTTGTTATCTTTTATCAGTTTCGCGGAAACCTTGAAAAACCGCGGAGGCTAGACGGGATGCCAACATACTTCCTTTTAACGCAGATAGAATCAACAGAAATCATACTCTCCTCTTTCAAAATATATTAGAATTTTTTCACATACTCTCCTCTCGATCTAGTCAATAGATATATGGAACGGATTCCTTCATTATCCTGATTTTGAGCGCATACACACACACATTTACACAAAAACAATTCTAATGCAATCACCGAACTTGTACTATATTTTTTTTTAGAAAAAATTTGCTCTTCCCCTATTGTGGTACATAAGACACGGTTTAAATCAAATGTGTGTCATATAAACAGTGCAATTTTTTTTCTTCAATTGGTGGGAATAAAATTGGAACTAACATTTTGACGCAGTATTTGCTCAATCCGACTCGAATCTTGGGATTGAATTTAGACCATATCAATATTAAACGGGCGTATCGACAAACAATCGAGTGGTTACAGTTGAGCAAATGTTGAATGAAACCAATTAAAACACTCACTCATACTCTCTCATTCTCACTTTGACGATGCAAATTTGCGAATTAAAATTTTATGGGTGAAATTTCGGCGTATATAAACCCGAGTAGTTGGAACGAATGCAAAACCAGTTAATTGCCGCACATTTCGACGTCGAATTGTGCCGTGTATTGTGTTGTGTTTATTATTCGCTGGCGCTAGCTCACTATAGAAATTATTGTGCGTGGTCGCGTACATACAACAAATAGTAAAACACTGAAAAAACAAATGATTTACCAGAAAAACATGAGTACATTTCGTGTGTTACTCGTGTTGATTTCATCGGCTTGTGTTGTAAATAAACTTTTCATTTTTCCTTTCAAAATAATAATTAAATTGGTTGGATAATTGGAGTGGAAATCAGTTCGATGCTGTGGTGGATGAGAAAATAACAGCTGAATTAAAAAGGAACACCAAACTGATTTGATTACATTGTTGTTGGCATTGAACAGCGAGAAGAGAATTGCAATTTTCAATGGGTTTTCATTTTGGTTTTCAGATCATTTTGGTGGAGACTACACCAGATCCGGATGCATTTGCCGATCCCGAAGCGATGTACGTTCGAGCATTTGCAGCTGCGCATTCAGATGAATTTCATGCATTTAGAATGCAGCATCGCAGCATATTTGGCATGATGAGGAGCGGTGGCGGAGGTAGCAGTGGAAGTCAAACCAGTGGCAAACGCATCATTATTAGAAGTAGAAAGTGTCAAAAGAAAAAGTGTAAACGCACAACAGCTGCAACGTCTTCCAAGTCATCAACAACAAAGAAGAAGAAAAAGAAGAAGAAGAAGAAATCTTCAACAAAAAAGAAATCTTCAACAAAAAAGAAATCTTCAACAAAAAAGAAATCTTCAACAAAAAAGAAATCTTCAACAAAAAAGAAGAAACGATGTGCATGCCGATGCAAACTACGATGCCCACGAATCAAAACAGTAAGTTGTAGCATCCAGTTTTTAATTCCCAGGTGATATTAAAGCACACAAAATACCAATTTCTTGTTAAAAGAAATTGAAATAAACACACACACAAAACATCATGAAACCATCAAATTTTGAGGCATTGAGTCAAATTTTTATGTCGATGTGCTCTTGATTGTGCTCAACTTCAATTTAACTACGGAAAATTTCAATAATAATTCCATTTTTCTAAACAGTTTTAGATTTGAATCAAATCATCATAATCATCATTAATTGAAAATATTGAGAAGAAAAAATTGAAATCCAATGATTTTTCATGGATCATCGAAAAACCCGTTCGCTGCGTAATCTTCTCAGCGTTAAAAAAACACTCGACCTAAAATCCAACTTTAGCTATTCATCTGTGAATGTGTAGCTATCGTCCCGCTTGGGGTACATGTGCAAATGCATTTTATTCACAGCTCATTTGTTTTAGAACCGAAGCAGCTGCTGGTCATCAGCAACAAAAAATCCACACATTCACCAAGAGCATATTTCGAGTGATTTACATACATTTTCAATTCCAATGGACATAGCATCTTATCGAGTAGAACGGTAGCAATACTATATGTTCGCTCTGTGGCTATTAAAAAAATTTCAGTGAGAGAATTTCTCACTCTAACACTCTGCTGTTAATTTTTAACGATGTCGACGACGACACAATGACGCTATGGATTCTAATAACAAATGCAGTAAATGATCTGCGAATGAAATGCTTATTGTAAATAGACAAAATGGAATATTAGATTTGTACCGTTTGCAAACGGAAAATTTTACCAGTGTCATTGCATTTAATCATTCTAATTGGTTTCAAAATGAACATTTCTGTAGGCATTCACAACGTCAACCACAGCATCAACGGCAAGTACGTCTACAACCGCATCCACTGTAAGTATTGTTCAATTTGTGTTTCGTTACAATTTTCCTAGTCTTCTGTAAGAAGTCATTTGTTACAACATTCCTAATTTGTCTAATTTAATTTGCACTCTGTAATGCAAAACCTGGAACAAAATCTTTTGCACACAAATTCTTTGTTTAGAAGAGAAAATCAGAAAAATGCATTGATTTCGTTGTTCAATGGACAGAACATCATCAAACAAAGACACGACCATTTTGATCCGTTCAACATTATCGAATACACAGGTTCTGTTGCCACCACATTGGAGTTGAATGTGAAGAAAGAACCGAGAGGTACAAATGAGATAAAGGAATTCCAAAAATAAACATTAACCCTTTATATAGTTTCTCTTGTCTGCCGTTCGTACACACAATGAAATTAACAGCAAACAATTGTTGTTGCAACAAATTCGTTTGGAATCCAACAAAAACAACAACCAAATCCATTGTAAAACCTCTTCATTTGAACAACATTGTTGAGCTGAATTCATTTTACATGGACGCGCTCGAGATTTTGTTTTGTTTTCTTTTGGTTGGAAGAAAGAGAGAGAGAGAGAGAGAGAGAGAGAGAGAGAGAAAGAGAGAGAGAGAGAGAGAGAGAGAGAGAGAGAGAGAAAGCGAAAGGGCAAACAGAGAAAAGAAAAAAGAGGAAAGGAAAGCAAAAGAAAAGAATGAATGAAAGGGAAAGAGAGAGAGAATGAAAAGACGAAAAATAGTGAAAGATTTTCATTTCATTTTTGCACGGCCAACGGGTTGCATTTGGTTCGGCCTGCATAGTTTGTAATTGAATTATCGGCTCTTATTTTCCATATAAGCTAATTTTGAAGCCGTAGAAATCGTTCAAGAATATTCTCTACCGACAGAGTCAAAAACACTCGATTTCAACACCTTTAAATGCACTATTGCTGACGAAAAATCGATTTTTTTCATTGCCGCTTTAGAAGAGATTTTGTGGATTATTTTTCTTAGTATTCTTGTTGTTTATTATCCTTGTTTAAGACCGGTATCATTTTTTTTATCGCCAGATAGTTCAAAAATGGACACTGGTGTCTACATTCAAATAAGGAAAATTGATAATTCTTCAAAAAACATCTTTCAAAAAATGGAAAATCCAAATGTACAAATAGAAACCTGGCTTCAATGTGAATGTCTAGATACAGCATTCAACACCACACAGCTGTGTATATGTGTCACAGTTGTTCACTCCACGACGATTCCACACCAAGCGGAACAAAATTCTGATTTCACCTCTCCGATTTCGCTCAAAATTAGTGTATAAACTTCTTATGGCCAAAAACTCGTAAAGCCAAAAAATTAGGGTGACCTTCCCCATCTGATTAAAAATTAGGGTGACTCGTATTTTGCGAAAAAGTGTGGGACAAACTTTCGAAATTTTATGCATGGTTGGATAGATAATAGATGGGGCTACAAAAAATTCTTCTACGACCACCCCATCTGGGCCCATCCAGACCCTCAAATATGGGTTCAAAGTATAAAAAGTGAAATCACAGTTGAATATCGTATTTGAATACTTATTTAAAGTAATCGCGATTCCGCTATGACAACCAAAGCAAATGATGGATCTGCTCTTTTTTTCTAAAGCGGAAAATAAATCCCTAAGTCTGAACATTTCTTTGGGATCCATTCGATTTGGTTAAAAAGCATGTGTCATGTAACGTGACTCACCGGCGAAACTTACATTGTTTTGCTAGTTGGCAAATGTGCCAAAGTACAGAATTGAACTAATCGAAATGTAAGCAGCAGCATACAATCGATTCGACGGCCATAGATAGACGGTACACGAATTCCTCTCTACTATGAAGAAATTATCACAGGCAACCTTTCAACTTGGTGTCAAAGAATACTCTAGAAAAAAGAATCGTTTTTCTTTTTCTATCCGGTCTTTTTCGTATTACGGATTTCTTACGTTCCCTCAATCCCATTCAATTATGTCTTCATTGAGAAGAAGCTGAAAACTTACCGACATCGAGCATCGTTCGTTGAAATAGAAAACGTTGTTTGGGAATGACCAATGTCAAAAGTATCAAAACTCGATTAACTTTGATCATTTTTCCAGGCATCGACGACCAGCACGGCAAGCACAGCATCGACAGCATCTACGACATCTACGGCATCGACAGCATCTACGGCATCGACAGCATCTACGGCATCGACAGCATCTACGGCATCGACAGCATCTACGGCATCGACAGCATCTACGGCATCTACAGCATCTACGCCATCGACGGCAGCTACATAATCGACTCAAACTAATTATTGCACCGTGTTCAAGACTCTTCCATATTGTTCATTCACGATTAATCTTCAAGCAACACTTCTTCATCGACACACATCATCATCATCAGCTGTTGTTATTTTTTAATTTAGCAACTAAAATGAGCACGGATGATTTTAGTGTCAAATCTAATTTTCTGTTCACAATTTTCAACTAAACTATGTTCTGAAATAAAAAAAACTGCACCAAAATCGTTTATAAAATAAAGTAAAGTTTTGCATTGTTTCATCATTTGCATTTTGTTTTGGCAGAAACAATCTGAGAAAAAATCCCGTCTTCGTATTTAAATTCCCATTCCGAGAAGTGGATTCGAAAAGTAAAACAAACTTGTAGGTAATATAATTGAATTTTAATGAATGATATTCGCATTGCAACAATATTTCTGAGCCGGATTAATTTCCATTTTTCGGAATCAAACTTCCAAGAGAGATTTAATTTCATTCCAAAACTTCAACGGCAGTTAAGTTCACATTTCGGAATATTTGTCGGCGGAGGGAAAAGGTTAAAAAGGGTTTCAATCAATTTTTTTCTTCCGGCAATCCAATTAAATTAAATTATTGCGCGTGGCTCTTAAAAGTGGAATTTGAGATGTTCGTCGCTTCCGAAGGGGCCAGTTCATATGATGGGAAGTTTTAAAAATAGATTTATCGTTGGTAGCATTTTAATTCGTTTAGAATTTTTTTTTTTTTTGATAAGTGAGTCAATATGTATTGACAAATGTCACGCACTCTCAATGAGTATCAATATTCCATTTCTCACAAATTCTGAACACAAAATTGTATTAACATCGAAATCTCGTTCGATATTGCCGAGTCAAGTACTCATAGATTACCGGATTATTTCCATCACATTTTAACGCTGATATTACACACGTTTTCTTATATTAGCTTGCTTCGAAGATGCATTCCATCCTATTAAACACGTCGATCGATGTTTGTGCTAGTTCCCTGATTAGTTTGTTATTCAATCAATTTGTTGAAAGTAATCGACGCAAAATTTGTTTATGACTTGTTGTTGGAAATTGGAAACTATCTGCCAAAAGATGTATTACACATTTCATTTTCATCGTTCGTTCAAAGTGTTGGGTTTGCTAATTGATTGCAAATGGAATGAACATGTGATAATTCGCGAAAATGTAAACCTCACCTGGTAAACTGTGGAAATCGGGAAGAAAAAGTTTCTCCTTGAAAATGATGGTCATATTGAAAAAACTTTAGTAACCGGTAAGTGTGAAATATTTAAAAATATTGGAACATTTTTTTAAAATATTCAATAATTTTTTTACCTAATAAAACCAATTTTAAGTCGCTTGAATTTAAAGACAAGAATTTTTCATATTATCAAGTTAATTCCACCTTTCTTCAGAGATTCCGCTATGCAATGCATATGGTAAATGTATAATATATTGTATGAAGCTCATACGATGAACTATGTAATGAAGTAAATTAGTCAAACCGCCAATACGGACCCCTTTTCATGTTTATCAGCATGATGCTATCGCTTTAATCCCCTTCAATCAATCATAAAGATATTTGTGCAACATTAATCAACAATCAACGGTTATCATAAGTCCATGATGGACAATATGATCGTGCAAAAACCTCCGCAAAGATAAATGCGACGAGAGACCGAAGGGTTGTAACAGTGATATGATCGGCACATGAGCACCATCTCTACTGATTGCCGTTATTGCAATGTAAACGAATAGAATGTCTACTTCTTCTTCTTTTTCTCAATATCAATTGCATACGACTTATGGTAACTCTCCGTAATCATTAGAAGTGGCGCTACTTATACGCATCGATTGACTTTTGCATTGGCTCTTATGTACTGTGCGTGCCTTTTGCGAGAGACGAAATGTGAGCTTGAATGTTCATCAAAGGGCAATAACCAGTGATTACAGGATAATAAGGTCGTATACGTTATTACGATTCCAATCGATAAAAGCAATTAAATCCAAAAACAGTTCAAGTATAATAGTTTTTCGAGTCCATTAAGCTGTCAGTGGTTGTATCAAATATGATTTCGATGAATTTTAAACCAAAAAATTACACCAAATCACAATGGCTCATTACGGATCCTCCTTTAAAATTTACAAATCGCCAATAAAAATGACAAAACGGCAATAAAATTGACAAAAAAATTCAATAAAATTGACAACAAATCGAAATAAATGTAACAAAACAAACAATAAAATTAACAATACGTTCAATGAAATTGCCAGATTGAGAAAATAATTTTGACAATATAGGCAATAGAATTGTCAAATTAGAAAATAAATCTGACAAAATGGTTATAAAATTGACATTTTTTGCAATAAATTTGACGTAAATTTATCTAT